GGTGCCATAAAAGGCTGATATGCAACATTTTAGATAAAATTGTGCTGTTGAAGCCCATCATTCAATTGTCCAAGCTTTGTCAGTGCTATGGCATTTAAATGCTCCCAGTTTGTCCTCATTCCCTTGAGTTCACTGCTGAGGACAATCCTCCCACTGAGTGCCATAGCAGCAGAAAGAGCACCTCAACCAGCTCCCAGTTTGTCCTCATTCCCTTGAGTTCACTGCTGAGGACAATCCTCCCACTGAGTGCCATAGCAGCAGAAAGAGCACCTCAACCAGGGTGCTCACGTTGAAAACAATTCTGACTTAATTCATTTCAACCCAAGATGTAGAATAAATTCACAGTTCTTGTGAAGTCAAAATTGAGAGGAAAGACTCAGACTTTCAGGAAGAAAGACAGACTCTATTCTGACTGCCTCTTTTTTAATCTATAGCATACTATTTGTGCTACCTGTTCTAGTCTGGGGCGTGGTAACCCCTGAATCTCTTCTGTTGTGGAGATTTTCTCCAGTACCTGGGTGTTTAAATCCTTTGTGCTGTTGATTGTGATCTAACACCTGCTGTTTCTGCAAAATAGCATGCAAGAGACAGGAGACATTTGCACGAACTGAGATACCATGAATGATAACTCCAACATCAACCATCTGCTAGGCCCTTTGTTTACTGCCTTTCTTTGTACTGAAGTTCAAATATTTTGGAATGAATGGGGGGAAAATTGCACAAGTAGCTCCCCTACTCAGCTTTAGTTTCTTTATGAACAACATGTGCAGAATATGTTAGGAAACGAAAACATCTGTTTCCAGTGGCTTTGCTGTATTCTGTTTTTCTATTGATTCATGCACAAACCTGAAGCTGAGATGTTTGGAGTGTTCTCTCCTTGTTTATTATGTAAAAACCCCAGGCAAACTCAATGCACAAAGGTAACACACTCAAAAGCGGAGCAGGTATTAGCAGGCCCACAGTAAGCCTGAATCAACTTCATAACTTCTGGATGAAGAGTCTTTCATATGGAAATGAAAGCTGCAAACCTAAAGAGAGAGGAATCCTAAAACACATCCATTTTCTAACGGTAACACCATTGCTCATGGCAAGATTTACTGTAAAGCAGAGGTGAAGTTTTTTCTGTATTGATTAGTTTCATCTGGTCTGTGATAATTTAATGCATTGGAAATGTGCTTGTTTGCCTAGAAGACCAGTATGCCTGGTTCTGCTGTGCTGGTCTGTATTTCTCTTGGATATTGGAGAGATTCCGGGCAATGCCTGTGTTACCTGGTAAGTGGCTGTGGTTTCCCACTGCCTCTATGAATGCATTTAAATTGAGGTAGAACACTTGAGAATCCATGCTTTAAGAATTTCAGGTGGAAAGCATTATTTATTGTTACTATTGACAAAGAACAGCTTTAAATAGACCTCCTTGTGCATGCAGAATTGAAATTTTTCCTTCATCTCATCAGGGCTTCCCCTCTCCTTCTCCCTGTTTAACCTTATAGCCCAATATTTAAAGAATTCACAGGGTGTATAGAAGTCAGGCTCTCACTGCTCTTTTTAGTAAGAAGGGCCTCTTATACCCATTAAAACTATGGTGGATTTGTCTATGCTGTTCACATCCTTCTTTTGAAGTTCAGCTCTTTCACAGAAAAAGAAAAATCCCTTTTCCAAATTGTCTGGCTCAGAGGGGTAAGAAAATATAAGACTTCACAGCCAAGGGATGTAGATGCCCACCAAAACAGGAATAGATGTTTTCTCCATAAATCTAATCACACTTAAAGAATCCCTGGACAAAGCAGAGCTGTTTGTGCCTCATATAGCAGCAAGGTAAAACATGTCCCTCTTCATTTTACTATTAATGACTTTAACCTCCTCCTTAGTTAAGAGATAGACTAATGTCACTTCCTAACTCTTTTAGGGATATTTTATCCTTTCAGGGGGTTGGGCTGAAATGCTTCATCTTAATTATAAAATTTCCTAGCAATGAAGAGAGTTAATGCAGGGAGCTCATTCTATCTGTAGAGCCTGCAAAACCTATTGCCTACAATTTATCAACCCATCTAGCTTTTTTTTATCAAAAATCTGAAACTGAATATGCTCTTGCCTTTAACAGCCTTCCAGGAACACAGTGATAAATGCTACATTTTAGCAGAAGACTTTTGTAGACCAAGGTAGAACAGGAAAACATTTATCAAAAAAGGGTGATATCAGAGCATACTGATAACAAAGAAAACAGAGAAAGTAATAAAACAGTCATAAGACAATGCCTTTTTCTCTTTTGTTCAGTACAATTATAATGTCAAGTATTTCAGAAATGTGAAGATATTATTTGGCCCATCCTCTGACAAGAATTTTAGCCTGCCTAGATATATATAGGGAGGTTTTTTTTTATTTTTTTTTTAATGTGGTGCATACTGTTTCTTTTTCACATTTATCTTCTAAGACCAGGAAATCAGAAGCCCCAGACAAAGAGCAGGGAAACATGAAACCTATCACTAAACCAGGGGATTTTGATCTGAAAAAAAAAAAAGAAATTGTGTAATTTCACTAGGGAAGGGACACAGGGCTCCTTTGTCTGCAACCTATGAGAGAGCATTCCTTCAGAGCTGCAGGGTGTGAAGGGAAGAGAGGTTCTGCTTCTGCCTCCACCCCTGGCCCTAATGCACCCCAGTAAGGAGGAGAGAGGCACCCCAAAGAGATGTAACTTCTTAGGGCTCCTCTCCCACTTGCAATGTGGCGAGTGTGGACGCGTGCAGGGACCTGTTGTTGCTCAGGGTGCAATTCAGCTGCTATTTCCCAACCACAAAATCTTGTGCCAGCAGTTTCCAGCAAGAAATGGGGCAGGAGCAAGCCACGCAGCCGGTGCTAGCCCAGCTCTCAAATCATAGGGGTTACAAGAAATTTCCAGGACAGGAGGAGTTATTGCGTTTGTTCTCTTGTTGCACAACACTGCTCTTTCGGCCACTAGATTAGTCAGTGATAGATCTGTACTTAGATATTCGGTGACAAAAGGTCAATTAGGGTCACTTCTTTTCCCACAGGAAATGCTGACTTCTTGCCCTTGGTATTTTGACAAGTTTAGGCCCTGTGGCTTTAAAAAAAAATAAATATTTTATATAGTCCAGTCTTTCAAGCGTTTAATGAGCATTACCCTCCAGTTTTATCTTTGCAGTTTGCATTGTTTTCAGAAAAAGGGAAAAGCAAAATAAGCTATGTTTTGCATGGCTGAGTGACAGTAAAAATGTAAGTTACCAAAAAAAAAACCCAAAAAACCCAAGGTTTTGAAACCGTTTTTGAATACAGTCTATGAAGATTCTAGGTTTATTGCAAAAGAAATTTTCTAGTCAAAATTATGCATGTGATAGTTGAGCAAAGCATATTTCCAAATAAATTTAAAAACTCTCTTGTAAAAAACAAAAAAGGAATTGAAAATAAAAAAGAAAGTACAAGCTACAAGACTTGTTTCAGTAAGTTCTGTTACTTTTTTCAACAAAAACATAATTTCCTCCTACTCTACCTCTAACTGAAAATCAGACATGAAAAGCAAAGCAAACAACAGAGATGTTCAATCTATCAATGTAAATTGGCCTGGTGCTGCTATAAGTAGCACATAAATTGCACAAGGGAGAAATATACAGTAGGTTTGTTCCACTGCTGAGAAAATACAGTTCAATTAGTCTGGACTACCACATGAACCCTTTCCCTTCCTTTGGGATATAATGAGGGAACAAGATGTGGCATCTGAGGGACTCTTGCCTTTGAAGAACATGACAAGTTTTGAATAAATAAGAAGGAAGATGTGAAAGTTGCTGTGTAACCTTGTTCTCACTGTGGGAAACTAAGCAGGCCTTTTCCTACCTGGCAATTTAATTTGCTAATTTGTAGAGGTCTGCTCTGAGAGATGGAATGCATATTTGTGTGACCATCCGGGAAATGGGAAGGGAGAGGGGAGGGGACAGAAGAAAAAGCGATGACAAAATGTGGGATGTGGCAGATGGAAAGGGGTGATTAGGGAAACCTCCAGTACTCTCAAACAATGAGCGTGGTTAATCTGGTCTGTGTCTTCTTCTACCATGTTTGGTAGAATCATCATCAGTGCCCGGGGGAAGACCATTACTGTTCCTTAAATTGTGCTCTTCATCACTCTGCAGGCATTATTGTGGAGTTTCTAAGTAGTGGAAGGCTTTTTTTATTTTTCAAGGGGGGTAGGGAGAATTTTGCTTTCAATGCCAATAATTGCCTAGGTTTTATTTATATCAGGCATCTGCTGAACTGCAGTGATTCACTATATGAGCATTATTAGCAGACAAGAAAGCAAACAAATGCATTTCAGAAGGTGTTTTCATTGTCTTTCACAGCTCTGCTTGAAGCTGGAAGTAAATAAACTTATGTTTGCCTAAAAAAGTATGCAGCTAGGTATTTACTGAGATGCCCCTGATGTATTTTTAAGCCATCTCAGTTTGACTAGGTGCCTTTTACTTGAAACAAGGTCTGGAACAGAACATTGGTGAAGTAGATTATTTCAGGGATGCCTTCTACAAGTAAGCAAAAATACAAAGAAGCTTAAAACACTCTATTACAACCTACAACAAGGAGCATGCTGCATTGTATTTTAAGTATAGCTTATTCTTAATGCTACCATACTGGGATGTGCTTTTGAGCACTTTTTGACAGGTTTTTTCCTAGAATTTCGGGGGACATTTTAAAAATAAATATTTGAGATATATGTGTGTTTTATTTGTTTTATTTATAATATGTTATATATGTATGGTTTCATACATGCACAAAAAAAAATCCCTTTCTCTATATAAAACATAATACAAGATATAGCTTGTACTAAAAACTTACATTGTTGTAACATTTCAGGAAAGCTGCTTAAACAGAACAATTCAACATAATTTTCTCCTTTTTAGTTGTCACAGTAAAATTTCAGGAAAATGTATTAAATATTTTGAATTCAAACAGACAAGTCTGTCTGAAAAAATTGTTTAATTATAATTATATTTAATATAATTTAATTATAATAGCTAGCTTTGCAGGCAACCATATGATGTGAGTTGAAGAGCAAGCAGCTAAGCAGTGCATTCTGTGCTTCCCTCTTTATTCATAAAATCCTTATTGAAGCAGGTTCTTGTCTATTGTAATTCACTATAATTTCTTTGGTTCTTATGCAATAATGCCAATTTATATCATGTAAGAAGACCTAAGCTGAGATAGTTTCTGCTCATAAAATTTGACAGAGCTTAAATTATCTTAAAATTCAATGCTTTCTTACATTGCTATTGAAACTTTCCACGGTTACCTTTCAGAAAAAATTCCAGAAGTGTGCTATGTACAAAGACCCCCTCCCAAACTTGCACACAAGTCAGAATTGTTTTCAGGATTATGGGAAATCCTTTGCTAGCATGTTAGTGAACAGTCAAATCTGTGGAAATGTCAAAAAAAAAAAAGCTTGGGAAATGTGGTTGAACTGTCCTTTCAATTAAGTTTTTTTTTTAATTAAGTTCCACTTACTGGCCAGAAAATTTCTGTATTTTTCCTTGTAAAACAAACTGGAACACCTAGACAAAGATTTTTACACTTAACAATTCATATTATTATTTACTATTCTTGAAAAGATCTGGAAATGAAGCTTTTAAAGCACTGAATTGAAACACTTATCACAATAATTTTCTGATACATGCAATTTCCTATTTGCACAGTAAATTATAGTGTTTGAATAATGAAAGCATGAGATTGGCAAGGGTTTATCAGACAACTGATATAAACTCATTTAGTGACTGACTGATATGCAGGCGAATAACTGTAGCTAATTCAGCATATAATCACACTATATCTGCTTACCCAGATAATAGACACTTTAAACACTTAATTTTTTTAAAAAAATTTGCTTTCAAATAGCATGTAACATAAGTGATATGGAGAAACTCAGAATAGTCAAGATTTATTTTTTTTTCTCAAGTCTGATTGCTTAGTATATTGCATTTTAAATTTGAAATTAAATGTATTTTAAAAGACAGTATGTTTAGAAAACTTTAGAATATTGTTCTAAAAGTATCTTTTAAACTTGTTAAAAAAAACCAAAAAAGCCCAATTTCTAAAGAAAAACAATACACTAGTATATGCAATATGAACAAGAAGTCCTAATTTGTGTCTACAGCTGCTCATTGCACTAAACCCCAGTTTGAAATAAATGCAACTCAGTTAAAACATTAATACTGTTCAAAATGACCTCCAGCTTTCTAAAATAAAGGCTGCAAGATGCTGACTATTCAAAGACTGTAAGATACAGAGGACTGTAAGATACGAAGGAAAGACTTGAAGCCCTCCTTTCTGGAGGAAGCTGCCTAAACATCAGTACCTGCAGGCTAAAATGTGATTTAATACTGTACATCCTCTCTCTTCTCTTCTTTGATGTGGGCCTTACTCCTTCTCCACAAAACCTTTTAGGCGTGCCATGAAATGCAAAGTTATGCAACAAAAGTCTCTTTACGTGAGACAGCAAAATCTCTTTATTTTCTCTCTTCATTTTGGGAAGAACTATGGTGTAGTTTGCCCTGCTCTCCACACTCCGTAAGCAGAAGGACTTAATCTCAGTTCTGCTGACATATATTATGGAAGAGCTCCTGTGCTCTCCTGTCCATAGCAGGAAAATGGGGTTTAGGGATAAACCCCAATCAGAAGAACAAATCCTAATTATAAATTATCAGTTTTTTTCAGACACTTGAGTCTGCCCAAGAGATCCTGTTGGGAAAGTACAGATCTGAAAACACAGCCAAATGTCTTTCTTGATGTGAATCTTATCATGATGACTTTTTCTACTCAGTCACTCTCCCAAACTCACCAGGACTTTTATGGAATTTCCTAACACCTTCTGCATTATGCAGATTTTATACCATCACGTACATGTCATCATTCATTAAAATATGGAAGCCAGCAATAGGAGCTGCAGTGTTGGATGCCGGTATCAGGCAGGCAATCTCAGCTGCTTTGCCATCATTTTTTTCAGCTGCTCCTGAAAAAGGGAAGATTTTTTCCAAAGGTCCCTGTTTGTCACTGTTCTTCTCATCTTCTTGCTGGCTTTCTGCCTCAGTGATGGACTCTGGTTCTTCATATTCTAGCTTGGTTTGCAACACCACATGATCATTTTTGTCTAGCCATTCCTAGAAAAATTGAAGTGTTAATGTTGGCAGAGATGTTAAAAGATCTGTTAAAAGAATCTTGGTTGTATAGATACCAATTACCAATTTGCCTTTCATACTGGCATCTTTCCAGGATAAGCCACAATGGAGAAGATGAAAAGGAAGCAATGTAGAGAAGCAGGACATAAAACAGCAGGACAGAAGGAAGAATGGCAAGAAAGCAGACAGGATTCCAGAACTGCATACAAATGCCTACTTATTCTTGAGACCACATAAAATACATTTTGTATTTAATCAGGAGCCTTAGAAAACCTTGGACATGTAAAATATCTGGTGTTCCCTCTTTGACAGACTCATGCTTTCTTTGACCCAAACCCTGACTTAATTTAATCTAGTTTAGATGAAGATTTAGGCAATATAGCATACTTGTATTAATGCTTCAGTACTAATTTGAATTTGTATCTTTTTTCTTCACTTTGAGTTTAAAGCTATCTTTTATATAAAAAGTTTTCAGCTTGTCACTGAAAAATTATTATTGATTTTTTGATATTCCATTTGGTTTGAAAATGTAAATACTTAACCTGTTTCCCATCTAGAGGAAGCTTACTAACAGCTAAGGTAAACACTAGTACAGCTAAAACAGAAAACTACACCACATAGGTGATGTCAGGGACTCATAAGAAGCATTAAGAAAACAAAAGCCAAAACTGTAGTCTGTTCATTTGATAACCATTCCGTGTCTAAAAGTTTCTGAACATGCACCTCTATGGCTAAGAGAGGATGTTTCCTACTGTGACTGACACCTCCAAAGGTGTGAGTGCCATCACTGTGCCAGCACTCACACATTCAGAACTTCACAAAATAAAGGACAAGATCAGGTTGAAGCAAGCTCCCTGACCTGTCATTTGCAGGAAAGGATGCAAACACCACAATGTCGTTTCAATGGATATCTCAACACCCTTAAATTCTTCTCCAGCTGTTTCTTGGTCTCTATAGCAAATGCCTTTTCACAATCCCAAAGCAGCACTGCACTGATTTTATGAGCTCTGGCATCTGCTCTGTGGATCCTCTTGGTGATGCTGCACAAAGGGAAGGGTTTTGGGGCTTTTATCTTATGCCAGACTGCTTGTGGTTATGTCTGTGCAGAGCAAGAATCAGTAGCTACTTTCAAATAATTCTCAACGTTGTGGAGTTTACAGCCCTGCTAAGAAGGTGATTTTTACCTGTAAGTTTCCATTATGATCATTGAAGAGATCAGCAAATGGATATTTTGGGTCTGGTATAGCTGGCAGGACTGACATCTGAACCCTGCAACAACAAAAAAATACAAATCTAGACTGTACACAAACCTCCATCTAGTCAGCATGTGCCGTTCTGCTCAATGCAGTAGTCAGAGCTTCCATTCTCTGGTTACCTTCCACTAGGCAGGGATGATGGTGTAGCAACTAGCTGTATTGGCTGACTTAGTGAGCACAAATGTAAATATGAACCATAGAAGAGCAGGAGAAAAAACTCAATTTATGAACTAAGAGGGTAAATAGAGCCACAAATACTTTCATCACTGAAAATATGTAATTTTTGGCACTATTTTCCCACCAAAAAACCCAAAATCTGGGGCCTTTGTGGATTTGTTTGTTGTTTGGTAGTTTTTTGGGGTTTTTATTAATTGTAGATTCTAAACATGAACAGCATTATTCAACTACCAAACTAAATATTAGACTGGTAGTCTAATAGTCTTATTAAAGCTGAATGCACTTAAGTTTACTTTATCCTACTGCAAACAAACATTTTGATTGATTAATGAAGGTTGAACAAAAGAACGTCCTTTCAGAAGAAGTAGCTAGAAAAATTGGCTTCTCAGGATTTAACTAGAATTCTAAAGAAAGAGAAGAGACAGAATATTATCCTGAAACATTGTCTTTTACCAGAATTATTTCAGTTTTACAAATTAAAGGCCATGGGTGTTTGGAAAGCCAGGATGTATTATTCTGCAATTAAGCTACTGACTTCTACATCTTCACCATGACTTCATTAATCTCACAAGAATTTTTATTGCTAAAAGGCTTCATCCAGAATGATAACTCTATTTTTATGACATGGCTATTTAGTAGTATCCAATAAAACTATATTTACCTTTGCCATTTACACAGAAGAATCAGGAGGATAAGCATCATTAAGAGTACTGCCAGCGAACAACTTAAAACAATTACTCTTTTTGACTGAGGAGTTAAATCATCATCACACGAATCTAAGAATAATCAAAAAGAATATGTCAAAAATATTTTTTAACTGTGAATGTTCCTAATCTTGCTAAAAATGTTGATTTTTTTAAAAAATAAAAAAAAACCCAGAAAATTTTTAAGGACAAATAAGACAAGTTTAATTGAGACTGAAAAGAAAATCTCTGCTTCCCCAAATTTTGTTTTATTTTGTAACAAAATAAAATTGTGCTTTTATTTATCTAAATTGACCTGGTACAGGACAACAGAGGGGGCTTACAGGCAGTGTAGATGCATTATGAATGAATCAAGTATTTCTCACCTTCATCACACTGCATTGACAGTGATAAAGCGACTTTGTGCTAAGATCTGTATTACATATACCTACTTACAATCACTAAGGCTGCAAATGCAAGTTTACATGTGGCCCAAATGTCTTATCTCCCAACAAAAAACAAACAAATAATCCCAGCTGTTGGGATTTGTTGCATGAAATAGAAATGCTTCTGAGCCCTTCAGGGAGAAAAAGAAATCTAAAGACTGAATTAAAGTCTTTAGAGATAAAACTTTTAGAGTTAAAATCTTTAGAGAAACTTAAATATGTTAAGCCATAAGTATAGAGTATAAGTTTTAGTTTTAAGTAAGTTTTAATATAGCTTAAATACCTTAAGTGCCTGTGTTAGTTAATCAAAAGCCTTATTACCCAGTTAAAAGTTCAGTGAAACTACCCTTCACAGATTCAACTTAGCTCTAGTCATAATGAAAATATAGTTTGCATTCTTAGAACAGATAAGATTACTCATGTAAGCAGATAATACCCTGTACGTAAGATTTAAGTAAAGAGAACATTGTTTTCACATGTTAGAATTAAGTTCGTATTGGTGTAAAAAATTTTGTTTTAGAAGTGTTTTAGTGTTTTGGATGATTTATGGATTTAATCCCCTGTATTGGAGATCAGAATCCATCCATCCATCCATCCATCCATCCATCCATCCATCCATCCATCCATCCACCCACTCATCAATCTATCAGACCGAGGAAGAACAGCAGCACCATCATCACCAACTGCTTCTACAGCCCAGGACAACAAAGCTTCACGCTGAGAAGCTGCTGCCCCGAACACTGGGACCTTATACCAGAGAGCTGCTGCTCAGAACTCGGGACTTTATGCCAAAACTTTTAGTAAGGACTTTAACTTTCTATACTCTTTGCCTTTGAGACTGACACTTTTATACAATAAAAAAATTTCCAGCAACCATCAACTACTTGTGTCTCTTTGAGACCTGGAAATATTCCTGTATTCCCCGTTGAAACTTGACACCCAGCAAACAAAGAGCCAGCAAATCACAAAAGTTGATACCCAGAAAGTAACTAGTGGTAGGCTAACACCTAACATACAAGTATATATAATTAATAAATTTGTGCATTTTTCTGCATTCTCAGTGTTCTTCCTGCAGCTTTTGTAATGCATAGTAAACCTTTGCCTCCTACTACTGGCCTTCTGGTCTCCACAAAAGTGCCAAATGCAGATGATTATTCATGCAGGGACAGCTGTCCAGCCTGTTCCACCTCCCTGCTCTCTTTAGTTGCCAGGAAGCCACAAGTAAAATTGTCTCTCCCCACTAAGTAAGGTCTTCAGAGCTTATGAAATTTCTTGAAGCTTTGTGTCTTCATCTGATTATAGATTTGGAGTCAATAACTCATTAAAATCCTGAAGGAAACTTTTCCCAGTGAAGGGGCTGTGTCAATGTCACTTCTGATCCAGGGGCACACAGAATGCCTTAAGCACTTTGACTGTCTCCTGTGTTGTCCTTCCTTGCAGGTACCTGCTGACAGCTTCTGGCCAAATGGTTCAGGTAAGGCTGGTAAGTTGTTTACTCTCAAAGGTGCAGAGGAAGACACTGTCATTATTTCTTAGGGGCATTTGCCAGCCACACCTGAGGATATGCTTGCAGGCTCACAATTTGCATAGTGGAAGAGTCTTCACTGTGGCCATGAGTGCACATGGTCCAGGATTTCTTCCCAGCTTTGTGTGCACAGATTGCCTTCAAGCAAGATTGAAGTGCATTTCAAGTGAGCATTCAAGTGAGCCCTGGTTTTGATCTGCAGTAGGAATACTATTTGCATTGATAATCTAATTAATGTTAATCACCCTCAGTTAAATTCAACTGTCTGGTAGGAAAGCACTGCTGACAGTAGCTTTGCTTCCCCTCAATCTCTTTTTCCCCATCCTCCTCGTTTCAATCAATCCAACACCCTTGAGCATCAGACTTCTGTGACCTGTGGTCCTGTAGTTCAACTGGATCTACTTGCAAAACAAACTGCCTTCAAAAATTTGACACCAGAGATTTTCTCAGAGTTCATATTTGATATCCAAATGTCATATATGAGCATCCCCCTTCAACACCTACATAGCCCCCATGCATCACATCACTGTCACTGGGGGATCCTTGATGCTATTATAACACAAATAATAACACTTTGCTGATTAGGACATGAACTGATAGCTTCAGGGGCCATCAGAAACAAAGTGGACAGAGTTAAATTAAAGAGGCACAATTAAAAATTCACATGAACTTTCTTTGATAACACGAGATAGAGAACAATAGTGCTGCATTCATTTGCTGCATGTCCTCAGCTTCTTTTGCAGTCACCCCTTCTTTTTTTGCACTTAGACTATTTTTATTTATAAATATATATATTAGCTGTTACCTAATAACGTGCCATTCATCCAAAATGTTTCAGCTTCCCAGTCACTGCTGTATTTGACTACATTGCAGTATGGTACTAGCCTCCTCAGTCTGACCCGGAAAGAGTAGCACTTCCTTGGATCAAAGCCTTGCTCTCCAACACTGCAGCACTTAGAAGTTCTGGACTGAGAAAGAAGTTTTATGATTATTAATTCTGGTTTTCAAGACAGTGCTTCAAAGTGCTGCACTCAGTCATGATTACAGCTAGGACAAGGGATAGGCCAATGCAAAACCTCAGAACTAAATATTAACTTCTCTGAGTTTTGAGGAATTCTGTTTCTTGATTGACTTTTGACTATTCATATCCTTTCCTTGTTGTATGGTATTGAGTTGAGGGTCCTTAAAATCATTGTATAGTGCACTATGCTACAGTTGCATATTTACAATACACAAAGACACTCCAATCCACAAAATATTTACAAGTTAAATTTGAGAATAGAAAGGTTTAAGTTAGTGAAATAATAATAATATTTGTAAATACTTAACAGCTAATTTGAGAAGAAATAAAAATCCCATGTAATTTATTTTTTATATACTATTTCAATAGTTTTTATTTTTTTTTTTGTCTTTCTTCTTTTCACTAATCTGTTTTCTGTTTCTATCTTTCCAAATTCCTCTATTCTGAATGTATGCTTTTCCCTTAGATTTCTCTCAGTTCTTAGGGAACTGCCTTTAACTTGTAAATTATTTCTGGCATGGCAGAGACCCAGGGTTCTAAAAATCTAGATGTTTTCTTCTAGAAGCTATATTTGAAAATATAGGATGTGAGAAAATTTGGAAACAACTGTATTTTATATTCTATGGATATGCTACTTCCAGCTCCTTCTACTGTTGATTAAAAATGTGATGTCCAACTGCTTTCAGTGTTGATTAAAAATGTGACATACAACTCACTTGCCACTCTTTGTCAAACTTGCTTTTGTACTGAAGCTCAAGTCTCAAGCACCATGCATTTCTCTCTGGTTTATTACAGCTTACAGTAACAGTGTCCTCTTCCCAGAAGAAGGTCACATTTTCTGGTGGACTGGGCTTTACTAAGAAGAAGAGAAACAAATTTTGCTATGGCATCCTAAAAAGCACTTTGCAGTTAAAATAATTTTTTCCTTCCTTGGCTCAATATTTCACTGAGTAGTAAGAGGAAAAGGTTGATTTTCTTCTTGGAGGTTCTGCTTTTGCAGCTGACCTCCCTATTAAACATCAAAATGGAGCATGACACCATGACACTGTTCACCATTTGAGATGCCACATTCAAAGGCAGTAACTCATGTCAGGAACCCATTGTAGCTACTTAAAGAAAGGACTTTGGTCTCCTCACACTCCCTGCAATCCAGACAAAGAAACAAGCTTCCTCTTGGGAAATGAAGTGACAAATTCAGTACTACAAAACCTCCAAGAGAGACTTTTGCAGTTGCTGGAGGCTATGTGGGACATGATGGGGTATCTGCAAAAGCCCTGGGCTATCTATGCACAGCTGAATCTGCCCCTCACTGTTTTCAGAGGGTCTGAAGACACTCCATGGCTTGACTTACGCAGCTGGTAAGCCTTCAGCAGTGTGAAATAAAGGGCTGAAAAGAGTGCTACCTGATTTCTCAATCCTTCTAGTTGCCTTTTTGTATCATGAAAACTCTGCCTTCCTAATTTAAAGACTTCAGTCTGATCCTTGATATTTGTCCTTTGTTACCTAAAAATTTTGAAATTAATTTTGTTATTGGTGGCTGTTTAATAGTGAAAATTTGAGGACCATGCTGCAGTTTTCCATAATTTAACAGCTTTTGGTAAAATTAGGAGATACAAAAGTATTCTCAAAGTTTGATGCCTTGACAGGTTTGTGTTTAATCCCTTTTGCTAAAACATTATCATTAAATTTGAAATATATGATGTTTTTCAGATAATTCTCCACTGTATATCTCTTGTGTGATTTCTATTAGAAAAAAATCCCTGCTTTTAATGATGTAGGTATGTGAAATTCCAGAAGCTTATATATTTAGTATTTTCATTTGAAACTGTATTTTGGGACAAATCTGACTGTCTTATGTTATCTCATTTGATTGCAGCTGCACACAAGCCTATGTAACTGCAGGGAAGAAAAATCAGCATGAAATAACTGTAGTTTTGTTTTGACGTGCACACTACACTAATAATATTTTATATTCCACATAACAGATTTCTTCTCAAACATAGAGAACTGGAAAATCTGCCAAAGTAGTCATGATTTTTCATACTTACTGTAAAAATCAGCTTTTAATTTTTTAAAAAAAAGCTCTTCACTTCCATTGCTGTTCCTGATAGAAATGGCAAGGGTAGGTCCTTCTGTCTTAAAAAGACATCCAGAATTATAATCTTGATCCAATAAATAGGTGGTACATGGCTTCCAAACTTTGTGCTTGCCTTCACTAAATCTGTAAATGAAATAATACTGGTAAATGGAAAACTTAACAATTGAAACAATTAATTAAATTTTTTACTGCTCTTTCTTTTATATTTCTTTTTTTATCTTTTCAAATGCTACATCGAGGAAAGTCTGAGCATGGTTTTACTTGAAGTGACAAATTTCACAGTTCTGTGAGGAAATTCATCACCCAAACTTCACCCAAATTCCAGCCTTGGGTTTTGATGCAGTCTGAAGTAATCAAGTTTCATTCATGCTGTTGTTTTCCAATAAGAGAGTGACTTGCTCAAACAGATGCTCTCATGATCCTGTTTTCAGGACTGTACTGTGAAAAGTTCTTCCATGGATACAACTCAGAAAGAAAAGATAAGTACTATGATTGTCTTGAACTAAAATATTACACTTCTGTTAGTCAGTAATGATGGCAGTTAATAAGGAAAATACACACACCTATGTGGAAAAAACACTTTCAGCGGTGTAATTAGCCTTAGCATTTAGCACAATGATGGAAGAGGGACAAATCTTTCCTATCATGTCTGTTGTGACTGATTACTCACCAGGTTTATTGATTTGTACACTTCTGTAGGTTGTGAATATAAACAGGTTTAATGCTGGATATTAACAAATGTTAGAAGCATTTCTAGTTCACAGAAGACTCAAATGGACTTTAAGATTTCATTCTCCCTAGGTAAATCCTTTAACAAGAGAGGAATAGGCACTGACAATACTCACGTGTAAAAAAATGACACATTCTCATTATGGAAAAACTCTCTTGCTGCCCATGTGATCTGCATCTTCTCATTGTTGAAGTTGATGATTGTGGTGTTGATGGCATTTTTCTCACCTGCTCAGGACATTTATAGAGAATACCATTTCAGGAGTGAGTATGAAAAGCGTCCCTTGACATTAGTAGGCAGTCAGTATTTCTAAGATATGTGTGCAATAGGCTCAGATGATCATAAAGTCAGAAGACATAAGAACATCCAAAGGAAACTCTACAACTCTATTTCCAACAAAGAAATAGAGTAGAATAGCTTAGAGAGGTTTGAAATTAGAATTTCAAAATAATGAAATTAAGGCATGCACAGTGACATGAGAAAGAGATTTGGACACATGTGGTCCTGGGACCAAAAAGTGTAGAGTGGGCCCCATTGAGGCACTGAATAAGGCCTATACCTCGAGGACAACTTTCCCCAGAATACCTGCTGAGGAAAACTGTTTGGGAACTAACACTACAGGGAATGTCTGTGCAAACTGTCAGATGTTGGCTGTAAGAAACAAGGAACTAACACGGGAAATGCAGACCAGTCAAGACCCACAGGAACACAGAGCAGATCAGCACAAGTAGATGTGTTGCATATTTGATGCCCATTCCACCCTAAATACAAGAACAACCATTTAACATCCTTTGACTGCACACAGATATTATTTCCTCTCTGATCATCTCGTTACTGTTCTTGCTAGGGACAGAGGATTCCACAATCAGACACTGAAGATAAACCTGACATTGAAGAAATGGAGAAATTAAGAAAGCAGAAGGATTAGAAATCTATTCTGTATTAAAAAAAAATGTATTTTGCATTCTATAAGATGTGAAATTGTGTTTACTTGAGTGGATAAAGAGGAAGAAAATATATCAGCAAGAAACAATTTGAAGGTAAAATTTTCAGACTTCTCTGTCCAGCTGTGAAGTGTCTAACACTAAAAATCTTTGTTGGAATATTCCTGTCTAGAAGGAGAATAGAAGATTTTAGCTTTGATTGCTGTGTTCATTTTGTTCATGCTACTCTGGACTTTTGAAGGGGTTTAAAATTTTAAAATATTTCTTTATGAGCTATTTATCATATCCAGCCATTCTGATTACTTCATGGGAATCAAGAATAACTATTCTCATGGTTGCTATTTGTCAAAACCATTCAAGGCAGTTATGACAAAAATCCAGGACACACTGGGCCTGTACCTTCAGGTTTCAGCTATGTGAGTCATGGAGCTGTGGAAAAAAGATTCTGCTCTTATTCATGAAAAGGACATGAAACTACCTCCTCCATCTTTTACCTCATGCATGCAAGCTTGTTTTGTATTGTTTTCTCAAAGAGAAAATCTTGTTTACATGCTGAGGCAATACCAGAAGTGAAAAATCTTAAAAAGTGTAATAAAGTGGAGTTTATCCAGCCAGTTCTACCTACCTCTGTTGCAAAAAAGTACCCACAAAGACTTCAAGCTCTTTGTAATTCCCTTCTGCGGGTCTAAGAGATGATCTTTTACTAAAGCCACTAAGAAATATACAGGCAAAGTGCCCAATAGTGGATACTTGGTCTGTGATTGCATTAACACATTTTAATTTTTGTGGACTACTTTAGCATGGTTGTGCTGTGCAGTACTTGCATTAACACATTTTAATTTTTGTGGACTACTTTAGCATGGTTGTGCTGTGCAGTACGTAGTGTAAGTGAAATCCTTTACTTCTTGGACTTCTATTTTCTATAAAATAAAATATAAAAGTAGTTTAATGTATATTTAATGTGTATTAAGTGTGTAATTGCATGTTCTCCATTCTTATTTAAAACAGACATCATAAAAAATCCTGAGATATTTAAAATATATACTTCCTACTTTTCATAAAAAATCCTGAGATATTTAAAATATATACTTCCTACTTTTGGATAATTAGTCTGATTGCCTGTATTTTCACTTTGAGAAAGTGATCATGCTTCTAATGATCATGCCACTACTGATCATGCTTCAATTTTGAAAATAAGAGCAGGAAGAATACTTGATTTCTTAATTACATATTTTCAAGGGTAATTAATTTCAAAATTAATTTCTGATGTTGTTTCTATGTGTCCAATAGTTGGGAACAATGGCAGAAAGAAAAACACTCTTTGTAGGGCCTATTTTTGAATCTTCCACTAGACCAGGCTGCTCAGAGCTCCATCCAACTTGGCCTCAAACAATTCCAAGGATGGGGCATCCACAACTTCTTTGTGCAACCTGTTCCAATGCTTCACAACCCTCACAGTAAAGAATGTTTTCTTAATATCTAATATAAATCTAGTGTTTCATTTTAAAGCCATTTCCCCTTTTCCTGTCACTGCAGCCCCTTACAGAAAGTCTCTTTCCATCACAATTGATCTGAGGTCTTCAGTCAACTTGGTCACAAGGGCTGTACAGGTACAGAAAAAAAGAAGAGGAAAAAAGGAGCTCATAACATAAATACAGAACACTGTAACAGAGGCAAGGAGAGGAAAAGCTTGTTTTAAATATCTCCAAAAGGGAAAAACTGCAGTGCTAGGAGTTTCATCCCTCAAAGTTCAGGACGTTAAAACAATATTATAATGCTTATTCTTTGTGAATTGATTTTAACTTACTGGGCAGTACCAACAATTATTTTTTTTCTTTTTTTGAAAATTATATTTCTGGGGAAATTTCTAGAATTAAGATGGATAGCACTGGCTCATTAATTGTGAGAGAGAGCACACAGAAATTGCTTACCCAAAATTCTCTTACACATCTGACAATAAATGTGCTGACAAAATTAAGACTAATTTTGTCTCTCAAATATGTTATCTGTGCTTGGGAATCTCCTTGAATCTGTGACTATATATCCTACAACCTGCCAGCAGAGAAGTAAAGATTTGGCCAAGTGTTAATTCAGAGGTGAAGACTAAATCTTGGGTTTGGCAATGAACATTTTTTTTGTATGGCAAAGAATATCAGTTTGACTCCATTCCTGCAGTGATTTATCCATGGACCTGAGTAGTTAACTTCAGCAGGATTGGTCAGATTGTATCAACTTAATATCATAAATAAATATATCTAAATCAGAACCTTTTTCTGCAAAAAATCCCTACGTATTATGAATTAAAATGCTGGGATTTTAACATAAAAGTATAAACTCCAACAACTGCAGTTATTTATGTACTAAAATGGAAAGCAATATATTAAATTCTTTAACAATAAATAGAAAGTTAATTGAAATGGAATAGAAATTATGATAAACCATCTGGTGGTATATACATATTCTTTCCTGTGCTCTAATTTTAAAGAATTTCATAAGAAATCAGCTTCAACATAATTAAGTAGGTATGTAGGACAGAATCTTACCAATCTTTCATCATTAAAGACTTTGTTTTCCGAGCTTTAGTCAGAGAAATTTTCTTCTTTGCTTCCTAATTTCATGAGTTTTGAAGCCTTTTTGCATGTAGTTTGAGTTGTATTTTTTTGTAAATGTACAGTAGGTATTTGCATGTATCTTTTCAAATTATAACATGTATATTTTGCATAATTTAAATTTCAACATGAAGGCATGCATAACCTAAGTGAGTTTCTTTAAAGTTTAGATTAAACTGACACCAAATCCTCTGGGGATATATACAGTTTATCTGAAATATGTTTTTTTCTTTTTGATGATGTTTCCCTTGCCATCGACTGAAAAAATGTTTGGTTTTAAGTAAGTATACACCTATACTTCTGCAGGCAGGATAATTTTGTATCTTCTGTTAGTGGAAAGAGAATGAGAATAGAGGAGACCATTTCTCTCCCTCTGTTTTTGATGGAATCTTTTTGAATTCAGCTGTGACATCATAGATCACTCTCAGCTGATATGTCAGCTCTCCCACAGTAATTACTAATATTTAAAGCCTTCTAATTATGATCCTGGAGGCACACCATACACCAAAGCAACACATTCATAAGTATTCTTTCTATGATAATAATGGATAGATGAAAAGGTCAAAAATGTTTTGAGTAGGCAGTCCCTGGGCTAAAAGAGAGTAGCACAGCTTTCTGTCAGAGGATGACCTGGTGGTCTACCCAGGTATGCAGCATACTGCAGGACCAGTGCACAGGAGCAAGAGTTTCAGGGAGAATTATCCAAGCCTACACCTTCCTTAAAACCAGACAGGTTTTTACCAGAACTGGTAAAGCTCTGCACAAGACTTGAAGCTCACCTAATTCTCCTCAGGACAGAGAAGAATGGAAAATACCACTACGGTGTATGGAGAAAATAGTTCTACAGGGAAAAAAAAAAAATTCCTTGAGTAAAAAATTATGCAGATACAACCATGAGGAAGAATGTGAGCAAGTTCTTTCCACTCCCATTCTATTTTTCAAAGTTTGTTGCTGAGAAAAAATACTACTGAAAGAGAACATGTAAAAAGGTTAAATGACATGGAACAAATTTTTAAAAAAAGAAAGAGAGAGCCAGAATATCAATCTTCAAAGATAACAGAATGAAACATGTATGTACTGGAACAGTTGCAACCTCATTGATGCATAACAAAGAAGAAAAACCACTTTTAATTTCCTTATACTGACGAAACCTGATAACTAACCACACAGTACACTGTACAGGAACTACTGGAGAACAAGACCCAGATCTGAACCTATAGTCTTTAGCTGCCCTTAGTACTACTGGTGGATGAAGGACAGTTTCATTTTTTTAACAGGAACAAATGTAGGCAGAAATGCCATTTGTGCACAAGACTGCTGAATTGAACACATGGGCCAGAGAATGACTAGAAAACATCTTTTCAAGAAGACAAAACAAGTGAAAGTTTTTCATAGACATTTTGAGACAAGGTATAATTCTTATAGCATAATTCTTAGAATCCACCACACAGAGTGCTTTGGGGTTTTTCTCAGAAAATCACTGATCATTGTCAGGCATCCCAACACTGCATAGAATAAGAATCACAACTCTAATTTTTGAATTTTGTTCCACAGAGACATGCCATCAGCATTGCATGGCTGTAGATGATTGCTGTCTCAGGGCAGGGAAGTCACCTTCCTTCATAGGACAGCCAGTGACTCACAGGGACAATTAACCCTGGGGAATCAGGTGGTGGAGCATTATCAAAAATCATATTTACTATATGTTTAACAGAACAGAGAGCTGACTTAGAGGATGATAGAATGAGACCATCAAGAATTTATTCTTCCTTATAAAATGAATGACAGGGAACTTGTGGGAAATTAATTAGAGTGAAGATCAGATTTTTGATGTAGGTGTTGAGCATTATGTTTGATTTCTCTAATGGCATTGCAGACAAATACCTAAAACAGAGATTTCTTAGGCAGCCAAACAATTGGTCTTTGATAATTTTGCTGAGTAATAGTATTTTTATCTTGATGTTTTCTCAGGAGCAAAGTACTGCTGATCTTTTCCCACAGTGTTCATTTTTTCAGAGTACTCAGTGCATATGTCTTACCTTGAATGTGTTTTATCCTTCTTCGTTCATTGAAGGCTAGTCTTTTTTGGCTGCAATCTACTCTGTTAGAAAACTTTCATAGAAATATGTTATTGTTTGTTTTTTTAGGAGAACATTTTCATTTCTGCTGGATATTAATTTTTGTTTGGGTCAATCTTCTAATCAAAAAAACACTGAACACATGAGGTAGAAAATAAACAGAAATATTGCTAGCTGATATATCAATTTCTAAATAAATATATGGGAATTTGAACTTACCAGAAGATTGTGACTGAGAAGCCACAAAGTTGCCCAGTGTGAAGATCATCAAATATGCTTGAAAGATGAGTCTCATGGTTAGAATGTTACAACAGACTGTGAAGAGATGAATAATCATAATCTCTGGATTTACTCTTTGATCACTTTATACCAGATGCTGGAGGGAAGTGGAGGAAATGACTACAGCAAATAAAAAAAATGGCTTATCTGTAGCTACCAACAAATCAGAAGTGCAGGGCCTTCTTTATACAATGTAAAAAAAAAAAATTCTCAGAATATGAGTATCTCTTTTTCCAGCTTTATCTTTCTACAGCTGTATCAATCAGAGGAGACCATAGCCCTGCTGCAAATGAGGATGAGGTAGCTGTGCAGAGGTGTGACCACACAGAATCACAGAATCAATCACAGAGTCACAGAACAGGCAAGGCTGGAAGGGACCACAGTGGGTTGTCTGTTCTAATCTCCCTGCTCATCTCAGAGCACATGGCATAGGATTGTGTTCAGGTGATTCATGAATATCTCCAGTGAGGGGGACTCCACACCCTTTCTGGACAATCTGTTCCAGTGCTCTGTCACCGTCACAGTAAAGTTCTTCCTCATATTCAGGTAGAATTTTCTGAGCATCAGTTTCCACTCACTGCCTCTTGTCCTGTTGCTTGGCACCATCCCTTCAGATACTGACAGACATGGGTGAGGCCTCCCCTCAGCCATGTCTTCTCAAGGCTGAGCAGGCCCAGCTCTCTCTGCCTTTCCTGTTGAGATGCTCCAGTCGCCTTATCCTCTTTGTCACCCTCTGCTGGACCCTCTCCAGGAGATTAACATCTCTTGGGCCGGGAAGCCCAGAACTGCACACTCCAGGTGGGATCTCACCAGGGCTGAGTAGAGGGGCAGGATCACCTCCCTCGAGCTGCTGGCAACGCTCTTCCTTAGGCATCCCTGGATACCACTGGCCTTGGCCCCAGGGACGCACTGCTGGTCAGGGACAGCTTGTTGTCCACCAGGACCCCCAGGTCCTTCTCCTCAGAGCTGCTCCGCAGCAGGTCAGCCCCAGCCTGTGCTGGTGCCCAGGGTTATTCCTCCCCAGGTGCAGGACCCTGCATTTGCCTTTGCTGAATGTCAGATAGTTCTCTGAGCCTCTCTTCAAGCTGCCGAGGTCCTTCTGCAGGGCTACACAGCCCTCTGGGGTATCGGCCACTCCTCCCGGCTTTGTGGCATCAGAAAACTTGTTGAGGAGATACTCTGCCCCTTCATCCAAGTCATTGACAAATCAGCTAAACAATATTTGGCCTAGTATTGAACCCTGGGGGGCACCACTAGCGACAGGCCTCCAACCAGACCCTGCACCATTGATTATGACCCTCTGGGATCTTCCATTCACACAGTTCTCAATTAGATCATTTTTTCCTAGCTGGTCTTGAGCTTTTTCTGTGCTTGCATCAGAAAATGTACAGTAACCTTCTTCTCATGCAGGGGGCTCCCTTGGTCAGATGATCAAGTGAGTCATGGTGCATGTTAAGTGCCCTGGGCACACACATTATGCTGCCTGAGACCCTTGAACTACATTTTGCTGCAAATTTCTCAAGACTAGAAGCTTGTCTGTCATACCTGGTACTAGGTATGGATGGCTGGGAGTACACCCAGAAGTGGTGCCATGAAGTTTTTTAGGCTTCTTTTCATTCCCCTTAGATCCCTACCTAAAATGTTCACTGTCCATTTTAACCCAGCAGCACTGTTTGTCCAATGAGACATTTTTCAGCTTAGTCACATCATCAAAATCTGCGTGTCCCAAGAAGACCCTTTTGGTCCCTGCTTTGATCAAGTTCCTCCAGGGAGTCATTAGTTCCTGGAACTAAAGTAACAAGCAACACAAAAGTCAAATACTAAACTAGGTCGTAGGTGATAGTTAATGGAAAGCTAATGTCACTCATGGTTTTCACAGTCAGCATTGCAAAAGTCAGTGAGATAAACAAAGGCAAAGGTCCAAATTCCTCTGGTTCCTCAGGACATGGCAACTTCCACGTGTCCTCATTTGGGTTAAAAACACATTTTTCTTCCAAAAAAAATGAGTCTTATCTGTCCTTAGAGAAGATGTGAGTGTGATGGAGCCAAATTTGTCCCTTTTTGTTTTTCACCCAGGTAAAATACACCGGACTGCAGAGCCCCTAAGGTAGCTCATTGTTAGGAGAGAAGGGATAGAGGAAGATAACAAACAAAGAAAAGATATCTAAAATACCTTCTGGATTATAATAATTTTGATTTTGATACACTACATATAAAACAAGTTCAAATTCTCAAGCAAGAACACTACATTTTCACCTACCTTTTCCTTATGCCATGTATGCTTGTACCACAAGTAATTATCCCTCCCATCAGCCTTGTCTTCTTTTTCATGTACTGAGGTCAAACAAAAATAAGTTTAAAAAATAATCTCTCTTTTTACTACTTTGGAACCCAAACTGAGGGCTGAGGTCCTGGGGAATAAAAATGGCATCTGGGTCAAGCAAACTGATGTATAAAGCTGTGGCATTGTTGAGCTATTTTTGCTACTGCTGAGAGAAATATCAGATTTAGCACTAGGGGGATGTAGGGCTTTGGCACCTCCCACCTCCCCCCCATGCAGGCAGATACTGGCCCAGAACCTGCCTTAGGTTCTGTTTACTGGAAGGCAGCTCTGATTACCTGATTTGATTTTTTTTTTCTTGATCCTAGTCCATGAACTGAAAAGCTGCAATTGATACCATAAGATCTGTTCTCCTGGAGAACTTTTTCTGCCTGCCTGCAGGAGTGTGCTTGATTAACTTGTCCATGTCCTCTGGGTCATCACTCTCAAGAAGACAAGGACAGAGCATTGTCACAATGTGGCCCCTTTTTGTGGTTCACACGTAGTGCAGTGTTGGATTGTTCGGCCTGAGAAAACAAGATTCATCCTGCAACTTCATGCAGGAATAGGGAAAGCAAATGGTGAGGGTGAGCCAAAAAGTAGCAGCCAGGGCTTCTGATGCAGATTGCTGGAAGATAAAATTCTTAGCAAGACACACAGAGGATGAGAACAATCCAAGTAATGTAAGCAAACTAAAATAAGCCCTTTTGACTACATTTTTAATTTTGGATCAAACTGCACAAACAGATCTTGGCACTCTGCCAGTTCCTCTACCCACAGCAGTAACTCTTGGGTGGCTGCACTTGCCAGCTGCAACTTTCAGCACCCTCACTAACTTTCATCAGTTTCCTTCCTCTCTTTTTATTCTCCTTTGTATAATTTCGTTGGTGATGTTAAATGGGTCTTGGATCACCACATAGTTCAGCAAAGCAAATTGTCCCAGTTTAGTTTTTTAATTCACTTATAGCCGAAACAACCAATAGTCTGTGAGTAATTTTCCTTTACTGTTACTTATTTATTCATGGCCTTGCTTACAGCCTCTACATAAAGCCCTTAAAAATAGCAAGATTATCTCTTTTTGCAGACCCCTTTTAATTTTTAACATTAACAGGTTGTGATTTCAGTGTGCTTTGAGTGAGTGGGATAAAGGGAACAATGAACCATTTATATAAAATAGTGAACCCCATCACTCCATGACAAATAAGTTCAGTCAGCTTGAGACAGTGCAGCCCGTTGTTGTGACAGGAGAACCTGATTCCCTGTTTTAATATGCTGCAAAACACATGTGTAAAGATCTCTACTGTATGCTTTGAACACATCTTCTACCTATGGGAAAAGACTAGGAGAGCAATCTTCAAATGCTCCTGGAATTTTTAAAATTCACACTCTTAAACAATGACTTCAAAAAGAGTCATTTCGTGGTCTGTCCTTGTATCATCATGGCTTGGCTTTTCATAGGTTTTTTTATGAATGACAGGAAGCAAGCGAAGGGAAAAAGCCAAGCAAAGATGGCAGGCAGACAGCATGGATGAGCAAAGAGCTACTATCCAAAATCAGACATGAAATGGATTCCACACACAAGAGGTAGAATCTGGTTGATCTTTCAGGGACAGGGTTAGAGAAGTCAAGGCCAGGATGGAGTTGAATCTTTTAAGGGATGTGAAGGGCAACAAGAAACAACCCACAACTGTATAAAGAGTAAAAGGAGGATTAAGGAAGACACGGACATGCTGCTGAATGAATCCCATGCTGTGCAGGGCCTTTGTCTACACAATGGAAGTTCTTCTCTTAGTTAATGTCTGGTACCAACATTGCTCCCATATAAATTTCAAATCCTTACTTAAAAGAATAAGCATGCTTGGTAATTACAAAAAAAAGAAAAAAAAAAAAGGTATCAATAGAAATGTTCCATCAACAACCAAAAAATGTAGTCTTTAAAAAATAGACCAGAATAGAACAAAAAAATTCAATTGGAAAGGACCTACCTAGTTAGAATGACCATCTAGTTTAACTGCCTGACCACTTCAGGGCCCACCAGAAATTACAACCTGGTATTAAGGGCATTGTCCAAATGCCTCTTAAACACTGACAAGTTTAGGCATTGACAAGCTCTTTGTAAGAATAGTCTGTTAAGTGTTGGACTTCCCTCTCAGTAAAGAAATATTTCTCAATGTCAACTTTGAACTTAAAGCAAAAAAAAACCAAAAAAACAAAACCAACAAATAAACAAAATCAATTAACAAAAACACCAATAAAAATAAGAAATCTGTTAGCTGAAGTTAAACATCTTTTGTATAAATAAGAAACAAGCAAGAACCTCTACAAAACTAATAATTGAATAGTTGAAGTTATATAGCACTGAAATATAATTGAAAAAAAATTAATGAGTAATATAAATCTTTTTTTTTTTGGATGGGACTACCTGTTTCATTTAGAAAAAGTCTTTCATTATTCCATTTAATGGCACATGTTCGTTTTTTTATTACATTGTTTTGTTAAATTTTATCCTTGTATGTATCCTTAAAAAAGTTTGTAACAAGTAATATATTTTGTTCTTCAAGAACTGTGCTTTTGTTTTCTGGGGAAGAAAATAATGAAATTATAAGTTCAGGGATGCATCCTGAATTTTGAAAGTATTTTACATCAAATGGAAATCTGACAGTCA